TCCGGAAAGTTGCTAACTCGAAAATTCGAAAATCTAGAAGACTGTAATTTTAATAGGATATTCCCCGTCCACTTTTGTCTCACTGAGCTCAAACCCAGACTCCGGATATGCGTGGTACCCACGTACGGGCCCGCCAAAATTTTTTCGAGTAGGTCACTAACTCGGGAAACTAAAAAGTTAGAAGGCTGTAACTTTAAGGAAATGTTTCCTGTCCACGTAAGTTCCAATGAGTTCAGACCCAGACACCGAGTATACATGGTACCTATGTACGGGCCCGCCAAAATTTTCCTCGGGTAAGTTGCTGATTCGGGAACCTGAGAAGCTAGAGGATAGGAACTTTAAGGGGATGTTCCCCATCCAAGGCGGGTATTAACGAGATCAAACCCATCCACCGGGTATACATGGTACTCGCGTACGGGCCCGTGAAATTTTTTTTTGGGTAAGTTGATAACTCGGGAACCCGAGAAGCTAGAAGACTCGAATTTTGAAGAGATGTTTCCTGACAGTCCTGGTGGCCAGTCTGAAATTCTTTTAGCTAGAAGCATCTGCTGGAAAAAAAACAATGTCGTTAGCGACAAAAATCTGCGGGGAGCTATGCAATAAACGCACCTTCGCACGGGCAGCCCGTGCGTTGGCCAACTATTTGATTTTTGCGCTTGCACTAATAAAGAATTGTTTATGCGCTTCCCAGCTGCTAACCAGGCCTTCCTTTTCGTTAAGACTAAGCCATATAAAAGCACTAACCGATAGATAACAGCATTACGATGCAGAAACTGCAGTGCACATGTAACTTCGGCTGCATAGAAGCGAGCCCGCGGCTCATCAAATTTACGCGCTCGTTGAATTTGAAACATTAAGTCACCGCCGTTCACATATTCCATTACAAAAAACAAACGATCCTGAAAGGGAAAAGAACACGCTTCTGTTCTGCTTACATTGCACTTTTCCTCGAAGCATTCTGTGATGGGATAGAACAGTCTCAGAATAACTAAATAGAGCGGGATTTATATTCTCTCCAATCTTTCCGAAATAACAGCACTTCTCATTTCGGCTCACCTAGCTTGGTAGGAAGAAAACGCTGTTAAACTGAACGGTGACTACAAGTGGATGGCAGGGAAGTGCGTGAAAGGAGGGGGAGAGTGAGGAGGGAGGTGAAGAGGGAAGAATGAAAGGAAACGAAAATGCGCAGAATTATAAAAGTGGATGACACTTGCTAGGTAACGAAAAGGCATACGCACAATTATAATCATTGGCGACGCGCACTGGGCGGGTCCGCGCGACCATGCGTTTTTGCAGTGTTTCGTACTGCAATAAGATTACTCGAAATTCCGCCAGTTAGAAACCCCTTGTACATACTGGTCCTCGAATTTCGGGGAGTTAATTATCCACGCTATACTTGGACAGGGAAAATTCTCTTTAAATCCCAGGTTCCCAACTTTCTCAGTCCCCGAGTTACCCAAATTCCAGCCAGAAAATTTTACGGGGCCATACGTGGCAACCACGCATAACGGGGGGCTGAATTTGATAAATTCAAGTTGAAGATGAGTTGGAAAAATTTCCTGAAAGTTTCAGCCTCCCAGCTTTCATGGTCCCTGAGCTAGCGATTTTCGTGCCAGGAACCCTCACGGGGCCGTACGTCGGAACTACGCACATCTGGGGGCTGAATTTAAAATCTTTGGGTTCTACATGGACGGGGAACATAATCCCAAAATTTCAACTTTCTAGCTTTTCTGGTACCCAAGTTAGCGATTTTCCCGCCAAAACTTTGAGGCGCTCGTACGTGGGGTCTAGGCGTGCTTGAGGATTGATAGCGCGGCCCTGAGGTGGCACTTAGCCGGGGAGCCCACTCGCAAAATTTTGACGCAGACCTTGCTTGGATGCCGAGCTGAAATACTCGGACAGGCACACACACACACACATACACACACAAGCACACATACACACACACCGGGGTCGTCACAATATGTTTTTTTGCATATATGCAAAAACGCATAGTAAACCAAA